ACAACTGCCAGAATTTCAGTCTAGATGGTCCTGCTGGGGATTTGGAGAGATAAGGTGTCAATATAGGGTCAAGTTAAGGAAGGCTGCATTAGATTAATGAAGGCTGAAGATTCCATGGCTGGACACTTATCAGAACAACAAGAACAACAAAACCCATACTTCATTCTTTCTATACTTTCTTGACCAAACTAATCAAGGAGAATTGCAGTGGGGATTGGGAATGTTTTTACTGTGTTCTCCTAATTCTACTTCTAAAATCCACCATGATGTACAAACAAATCCATGCCGAGTGATGTTCGATAGTAGAGCTATGCAAAGCTTACAAGGGATATCTAGCTTTGACAAAAGTTTGTGAGAAGCTTCCTTTCAAAGATGCTTCATGAAACAATGCTTCCTCTGCTTTTAAAGGCAAAAACCTTTCCAATTCTACTATCCAAAAAGGCTTCTATACATGTATGAGGCAATACTCAAGGAGTAGCTTCTGAAGGAGACAGTTCCTCATCAAACTGGGGTGTCTGTGGGGAAGGTCAAATTTGCATGATGGCAGGCACAGTACTGTGATCAGAGCCCCATCACTTTTGTGGGGCAGACCCACACAAAGGCAAAAGGGTGTTATTTGATCACAACACTGCACCTGTCATTTTGTAGATTTTGATACCTCCTAATGGATACCCCTGTCATCAAGGCTAAACTCAGCCATCTTGCACAAGCCTACTGGTAATAATTTCAGTCTCTCTATTATAAAGAAAATTATGGATGTTCAGCTCTCATAAAAGTAGAAACAAGCCACCATTTTACTCTAGCTCTTCTGAATAAAAAATTATATATTTCTTTCTGACTGAACCAATCTCTGCCATATCAGCAAGCTTAAATGTCCCAAAAAGGTAAATTCCCTTCAGAGTGAAGAAAGATTACATGGCAAATGGCTGAAACACTGAGCCAAAAACCAGATAAAATTAGTGCAGATTTATTTTTGCTACCTAAGAACATTGCTACAGACAGTGTGAGAACTAACCTTCAGTTTAAATGCAAGGTGAGAAGTTTGATTGTGTTAACAATGTCTACTGGTTACTTTACCCAGTGGATGGAATATCTCCCAGAGTATAAATAAAATGAAAAGGTAAAACCTGAATTAATTCAACGTACTAATTTTAGCACAGACCTTGCTTCCAGACACTCTGCCCGCTCTACTATGCTAACCTGGGGCAAGTCTCCAATTTTCCACTCTGGAGTGGTAGTTTATAACTTGCCATTTGAAACTCTGACAGAAAGTTGGTGTAAAATACTACCAATACTGGGTTCATGGTTCTTGTTTAGCAAATCTAAGTTATGAATGCTTATATAGTTTTGTGTAATACCGTGAAAGAGACATTACTAAACCAGCTCAGAGGTTTCAGAGAAGGGACAGGACGTGCCATTCAAGCTGTTGCAAAGCCAAGTAATGCGATCTGACTAATACATCAAGATGTACCCTATCCTATCTCATTATAGTTACAATTTTAAAATGTGTAATGAAGGGATTTGGGCCCTGACAGGTTATGCCATAAGAAATGTGCTAGTCTTTAAGATGATACAAGAAAGGGGGGGGGGGATAGGGATGAATCACAATTGGATGAGTTCATGTTATTTTAAACCCTGAACTATGGTTTACAAACCAGAGTGAGTGGGTTCACATAACCTACAAAGCCAAAATTAAATAAACCTTGTTATTGCTCAGTGTGGTTTATGGGCTCAACACCTTGCTATTTTTGGTGCAACAGTATACTGTATTTCCTGTGGCAATAGTTCTTGTCTCCAAATAAGTCATTTTCTCCAAATGCATTAGGGTTGCTGGTTGAGAACGCTGGAAATGCAGTCTCAGTTTATCTGAAAATTTTCTTTACTTTTGATTGACAATGGTCAAGTTGACATGAATCAGCATCTATGACAGAGAACTACATTTTAGCCTGGTGTGTTGTGGGTGTAGTTCAGTGTTGTCCAAACTTGGCCACTTTAAGATGAGTGGACTTCAACTCCCAGAATTCCCCAGCCAGCATGAGTTGGAGTCCATACA